TCAAGTTGCCGTCAAGCAAAATTATGTACACATGTGTACGTTTAGATAGAACTTGTACAGGGTGCATTTGCACCTTTGATTTTTTAAAAAATTGTTTATTAATTTAAAGAATACAATAATGGTGGCGCTGCCCCTGCTTGCAGTGGAACCGGATCGACTGGTACACGTATACAGCACTCAAGGGGTCTATTTGGCCAATTTTGGTGGATCGTGTCACCACAAATTTTGTGTTATTCGTACTTTCATACTCTTTCTGAGTCTCTGTGAACTCTGAAAAGCTCTTGAACTTGGCTCCCACGTCCATGCTGAATAGATCTAGAAAAACTAGAACTAGATCTAGGTGTTGAGTAATTTCAGATTTGCGATGCAATAGCCTTGGGGCCAACAGAACGCTACTGGCAAGGTTCCCTCAGGGCTCTGTTTTGAAAAATGAAAATGCCACGCAGGTAAGCTTATTATATAGGCCAAGACTGCCTGGTTTCGCGGACTCTCGTGGCATTTGCCAATCTCGCGCAGCGATCTCGCACAGCGTTCGGGTCGACCCTGTGCGAATATAATTAATTCTTATTTGCACACCCTGTGCGAATAATATTAATTCTTATGCGCACACCCGGTGCGAATAATATTATTTCTTATGCGCACACCGGGTGCGAATAACCACTTCCTTCGCATTAGTTGGGCTACCACCCAGATATTTGCCGGCGATAGACTGATAACGCAACATTAGTGACGTGCAGGTTGTGCTGTATAAACGCTGTGTCGCAGCGCGAGTAAAATTTAATCAATACTCGAACTCTTCACTGTACTGTCACTTGTGTGTGTGTGGGGGGGGAGAAAATACAAGCGACGTCAGATTTTTAGATTGTCGGGCTCGCCATCGTGACCGGTCAGTGAACCTGGGTGCGTTTGCACCGCAAGATACGGCCTCGTGTGAGCAGATCTACCGGGCCGTTGGGGTCGCCAAAGTTCATTTAAAGTCTGAGTTAAAGATACACTCAGGGACGGGGGGGGGGGGGGGGGGGAGACTGAATTCAACACCAGAGAACAAAAACTTGGAAGCAAATTTCAGAATTTTGATTAGATTTAGACCTAGATTCTAGAGCTCTCTGCAAAGCCCGCGTTGCGTCGGTGCAGGCTATGTGCGTAATCGGGATCCTTCATACACCTTTAGCTGTGCTATTGAACTGAAGTGTACGTGTTTCATTGGGTGGGTGATAGTAAATTGTAACAATATTGTAGCTAGCTTTCTGTTCAAGATTTTCAGTGTCACTGCATCTTGCCCTCCCACAGATCTTACAACTCTCACCTTGCATGGGTCTGCTTGAGCCTTTCAAGTTGTTGCTCTACTTTGAATTTGAGGAATAATTTTTGGGAGTGTATACAGACCCGGTAACCGGGAACAAAGTCACAAAGTATACAGACCCGGTAGGGGAACTCTTTTGTGATTTCGGAAAGTTTCAGCGGTCTCTTGGCTCAGGGTAGACCAAAGAGTTTGTTAGACCTAGGTTCTTCTAGATCTATGGCCTTGGTCTAGATCTAGACAGACAGACATAAATCATTGATCTACTTTCGAGGCTAGCCTAGATCT